CCTTCTGTTCAGTTTTGATACATCCAGAGTTTTGTGTGGAAAATATCGTACGCAAGGTTTTTGTGCGTACGCACCGTTGGTACATGAGGCCCCTGGTGTTTCCATCAATGGATTGTTTCTCCATTAGATAACAATGCCAGGATTCATGGGGCTCTTATTGTGAAAGAGTGGTTCAGGCTCTTATTGTGAAAGAGTGGTTCAGGGAGTGAGACATGTCCAGTGAGAGTGTTCAGGATGTGCTGCAGGTCAGACTCTACCATCAGGATGTTGGTGAAGAATTAATGCAACACTGGATGAATTAAATCTGCTGACTCTGCAGATTATTAAACAATGACACAGAGAGTGTGATGTAATCAAAGCTAATAAATAAACAAATATTAGTGATGTGTAATTTGAATAGACAGTGTGAGTGACTTCTGAGGGTTTAAAGTCCACTTCCTGTTTCATGAAACCTGTGGGTGTGTTCCTGTGCTGAGTAACGGCTGCTTGTGTCAGCACCTCACTGTTGTTGCAACAGAAATGAAAATGAAATCATCTCTGAGCAAACTGGTGTCTGAGCTGCTGACGCTACACAAACTGTGTGGTTTTGTGTTAATCCAGGGGTTGTGTTGTATGTAAACGAGGCGCACTCACAGTGTGCGTCCACCACGTCCAGGGCCACGCTGTCCTCCGGGAAGCTGACAGCGAGCAGAGAGCGTGAAGCTGTCAGCAGCAGCAGCAGCAGCTCACTGAGCAGGACAGCAGCTCCTCCTCCCATGGCTCCTCACGCACACACAGGCACTTCCTGTTTCACACCTGGAAATGTTACCTGCAGACACAAAGCAGAGCGCCTGTTTTTCTTTCTGTGTGGCGGGAAACACGTTTCACGTGGCAGAGCGCAGCGCTATGATGTCATAACGCTGATTTATTCTCCTCAGCCTCTCCCTGCAGCTGCTGTCAGACCGAGGTCAGCCAACAGGCCGGCAGGACGCCGCGCCGCGCCGCGTGTCCGAGGCACAGGAAGTCCGCCCTGCTGGTCCAGGACATCTGTGCTCTGACTGGTTCCACCGGGCCAGCACCGGGCCGGCGCCGCTCAGCCTCCACTCTGACCTCAAACAGGCTGTTAGCAGCCGAGAGCTAACGACTGTAGCACCACAACAAAAACTCTTATCAGCCGAGAGCTAACGACTGTAGCAACACAACAAAAACTCTACCAGGTGAAGCTAAGCCACCGTAGCAACTGTATATATATTAGTACATAAAGCATATCCGTGTACTGTTTATGGGTACAAAAAAGGTACAGCAGGTAAAATAAGTATTGAACACATCTCAGTAAATATATTACTAGAGGTGCTGATGACATGAAATTTTCACCAGATGTTGGTAACAACCCAAGTGATCCATAC